TCGGCGTACCGTGTGAGATAATCTGTGGCGACAATGATCCATCTGTTTCCTTGCGTCGATGGTGGGAAAGGACCAAGTAGATCCATTCCGATCTGCTGGAACGGTACGGTCGGGGGAGCGATCGGATGCAGGAGACCTGCCGGCTTCGTCGGCGGTTTCTTGCGTCGCTGGCACTCGTGGCAGGACCGTGTGTAGAAGTGAACGGTCTTCGGCAGCTTGGGCCAGTAATACCTTTCACGGATCCGGGCCAGCGTACGGCTGTAACCAAGGTGTCCGGACGTCGGGTCGTCGTGGCAGGCTTGGAAGATCTCCGCTCTAAGGTCGGTAGGGATTACCAGCAGCCATGGTGTGCTGTTGTCTCCGAAGTTTTCCTTGTAAAGTACACCTTGTCGGAGGACGAAACTCGGCAGGGCTCTCGAGAAGACACGGGGGACACTACCCCCTCGTCCTTCGAGGTGGTCGATTAGCGCGCGCAACTCAGGATCGTCTCTTTGACGTCGTGCCATGTCGTCGGTGTTTACTGCACCTAGGAAGCACTCGTCGTCATCGTCGTTGCTACTAGCGGAAGGTGTTTCGACGGGGGCTCTGGACAGGCAGTCGGCGTCGCTGTGCTTGCGGCCTGACTTGTAGACCACAGTCATGTTGAACTCTTGTAGTCGTAGACTCCATCGAGCGAGGCGTCCTGACGGGTCCTTGAGGTTCGCAAGCCAGCAGAGCGAGTGGTGGTCCGTGACTACACGGAACGGGCTCCCGTACAAATACGGACGAAACTTCGTGATTGCCCAGACGACAGCGAGGCATTCTTTCTCAGTCGTGGAGTAATTTTTCTCCGCCTTGGACAGTGTCCGACTTGCGTAGGCGATAACTCGCTCGGTGCCGTCTTGCACTTGAACCAGTACCGCGCCAAGTCCAGCGTTACTTGCGTCCGTGTGAATTTCGGTTTCCGCATCTTGATCGAAATGTCCTAGAACAGGAGGAGTCTGCAGTCGTCACTTCAGCTCGTCGAATGCCTGCTGCTGCTTCTCGGCCCATTCGAACTTCTCGGCGTCCTTTGTGAGGTTTGTGAGTGGTGCGGAAATCCTTGCAAAATCCCGGATGAAGCGCCGATAGTAGGCACATAGTCCAAGAAACCTTCGCACGGCCTTCTTGTCTGTCGGTGCTGGAAATGCTGCGACGGCGCGAGTCTTCTCTGGATCGGGGCGAACGCCTTCGTTACTAACCACGTGACCTAGGAACTTCAGTTCGTCATAGGCGAACCGACACTTTGACGGCTTCAGGGTGAGTCCGGCGGTCCGTATGGCTTGGAGAACTGCTCGGAGTCGTCGCAAGTGCTCGTCGAAGTCGCTGGAAAACACTACGACGTCATCGAGGTAGACGAGACAGCTCTGCCACTTCAGTCCTGCCAGTACGGTGTCCATGACACGCTGAAAAGTTGCTGGAGCCGTGCACAGTCCGAAGGGCATCACTTTGAACTCGTACAGCCCATCTGGCGTGACGAAAGCTGTCTTCTCTCGGTCCCGTTCGTCGACTTCGATCTGCCAGTAGCCGCTCTTCAGGTCCATGGATGAAAAGTATCGGGAGTGGCGCAGCCGGTCTAACGTGTCGTCGATGCGGGGAAGTGGATAGACGTCTTTCTTCGTCACTGCGTTCAGCTGCCGGTAGTCCACGCAGAACCTAAGCGTTCCGTCCTTCTTCTTAACCAGTACAACTGGAGAGGCCCACGGACTGCTTGAAGGTTGGATTATGTCGTCGTTCAGCATCTCTTGCACTTGCTCCTGGATCACCTCCCTTTCTTTAACGGAGACTCTGTACGGCGATCGATGCACAGGGCGCGCGTCCTCCTCGGTAACGATGCGGTGTTTCGCAATGGCGGTTTGGCGCACCCTCGACGACGTCGCGAAGCAGTCACTGTATTCGGCGAGAAGTTCCCTTAGCTGCCGTTGTTTCGGGCCTGGAAGCTTGGGGTCAATGTCGAGCTGCGCTGGTGCCGTGTTGTGTTGCTGAGGTGGGAATGATTCATCAGCAATCGCGGCGATTTCGGCGGAGTTCCGAATTTTCTCGACGTGGCCTACAGCGGAACCTTTCGTGAGGTGTTGCGCTTCTTGTCGAAAGTTTGTCACGAAGACCACGGTGCCCCCATCCTGAAGTTCAGCCACTCCTCTTGCGACGCCTATTCCTCTTTCTAGGAGTAATTGAAGGTTGCCTTCAAGAACCACTTCGCCGCAGGTAGCTGCATCAGCCACAACGGGTACGACAACACTTGATCGCGGCGGCAGGTTCACGTGGTCGGCAGCGACTCGAACGGCGGCTGACGCTGTTTAAGGTTTCTCTGAAGACGGAACAGGCTTGCGCAGCGTCAATCTGTTCTCACCAAGGTCGATGACGGCGCCGTATTCACACAGAAAGTCCATGCCGAGAATAACGTCTCTGGAACAGTTTTGTAGAACGACGAACTTCACAGGGCACGTCTCACCGCGGATCTCGACGCGAGCAGTGCATCTCCCGATGGGTGTGATGAGGTGCCCTCCGGCGGTTCGTATTTGAGGTCCATCCCACGGCGTCATGATTTTTCGAAGGCGGCGGGAGAGCCTCCCACTCAAGACTGAGTAGTCTGCTCCGGTGTCCACGAGTGCAGATGCGTCGTGGCCGTCGATGACGACGTTTAGGTTATTGGACACCGCTGCAGCGGCGTCGTTTTGGTCTCTGGTAGCGTTCGAGTGGGGGCCCCCCGACGTTCGTGGAGGATCTTGGCGTCGGTCGTCTTCGGCAACCCCACCTCCAGGGGTTGCCGCGCCTAGTTTCCCCGGCGAGGAGCGAGGGGGGACAGGCTTTCACGTCGTGGTCGGTGCATCGGCGAAGCTGGACGTCGCGGTGACGGCGACCGGAACTCTCGGCGGGCCGCAGACTCGGGGGACTGAGGTCTTCGCAGGTACTTGTCGATCTCAGTAGGGCGTTCACCATGACGGGGGCGCGGGTCGTTCGGGTGGAACCCGCGTAGCCCGAGTCGTCGGTATGGGCATCGGCGGAAGATGTGGTCCGCTTCCCCGCAATGGAAGCACAGAGGGCGTCGGTCGGGCGTTCGCCACACGTCGGTCTTGCGGGGTGCGCGAGGCTCCGGGCAGGCGTACTGGACCTGGTCGTCGTGGCGTCAGTCGTGCTGCGGCGCAGGAGACTGACGTCGGGGCGGCGCGACATAGGTGCGACGAGGAGGCGGTGGCCGTCGGGCCACTGCGGCGTAACTCAATGTCGGCGGTTCCGGAGCGGTGCTGACGGGAACCTCAGGCTGCAGCGCTTGCTGGACTTCTTCCCTGACAATCTCGGCGATTGAGGGCAAAGCTGGGCTTGCGGCGGCAGGTAGAAGTTTCTTGATCTCCTCCCGCACGACGTCCCGGATAATCTCGCGGAGGTCCGGGCTGTTGCAGCTGGAAGTCGAGAGGGCCGCGACGCCGGGAAGTCGTTGGTAATGGGAGGCCCGTGCTTGAAGGGCACGTTCAATGTTTGTTGCCTCCGTGATGAATCCTTCGACTGTTGTAGGCGGGGCTCGCACAAGGCCTCCGAAGATGTTTTCTTTGACGCCTCGCATCAGGATTCTCAGCTTCTTCGCTTCGGAGGCTTGAGGATCGGCGCGGTTGCTGAGTCGCAGGACATCCTCCACGAAGCTGACGATGCTCTCGTTAGGGCCTTGGATCCTCGCTTGAAGAAGCTCTTCCGCGCGTTCTCTTCGTTGTTGGTTCGTGAACGTTCTTCGCAACTCAGCTTTGAGCTGCTCCCAGGAGGTGATCGATGCTTCGTGGTTCTCGAACCAGTTCCGAGCGGTTGCTTCCAAGGCGAAGTAAGCATTCTGTAGACACTGTTCTGGTGTCCACCCGTTATGACGGGCCACTCGTTCGTACTGTTGGACCCAGTCGTCGATGTCTTCGTGGCTTTCGCCGTGGAAGGGAGCCGGTGTCCGAGGAGCGACGGGTAGGTAGACGACGGCAGGAGCGGCGGGGTTCTGCGACTGGTTGGCCATCGTCGTCGTCTCCGGCTTGGGCGTGTCCAGCAGTAAACCGTAGTCAGGATCCTCTTCCTTGGTGCGGCGGCTGGTCCGAGTTTCAGCTTCCGCGGTGAGTGGTCTTCTCACCGAGCTAGGAACCGGACTTGTCGTGCGGGCCCTTGGAGGGGAACGCTGCACGGGCATGCGGTACCCCGCACCTCCACCAAAATGTCACGGGTGGTGACCAGAATGACAATAAATAAACAGGAAGAAATAAACGTTTAATGTGGCGAACTTGTGCCGAAAACAAAAAGGAGAATAGAAAATAATAACAAAGCGTCGCGAGCGTCGAGGTCGGCGAGACAGCAGAGTCGAGCGCTGGGGCGAAACTGACTCGACAAGGTCGCGGGCGGCCTCTTATCTAGAGTGCGCCGCTATCTCGAAGATTCGGCGAAAGCGGTTCGAGCGTCGCGTGATCGGGGCGAGAATGAACACGTACTTTCTAGAAAACAAAAGCAGGGATAAATGATAGAAGTTACGTGCGGTACATGAATAAACGGGAACTTTCTGGAGGACCGTGACCGAGCGTTTCTTTCTCAGCCTTGCGCGCGGCAATATTTCGCAAGCACTTCAGCAGATGCGGAACATCAAATAGAAAAAAAAGTGGCTTCTCGTTCACAGTTATGTTTGGCTTCTCAGGGGTAACAAGGCCATTAAAAAGAGCAACATTTTAATTCTCTTGGTCACATTTGACAGCTACTGGCTCCAGACCGGCTTTCACAAGCAAATTGTGGCACTGGAAAAGGAGGTCTCGCAAAATATGGGCAGGTGTTCCCGCATGAGCGAAAAAAAAAGTAAGTGCGAATGCATGGCGTGCGAATGCCTTTAGCCATAAACACAAGAGTTTTGTTTTCGAGGTTATGGTCTCTTCCAGTGCTACTATCATCGAGCCCTTCAAACCTGTACACAGAGGGATTGTACGAGAGCTCTTTCGTAATGTGCATCTTGTCAAAGACAATGATACATGGCTTGTCTTCTGGTGAAAAAGAACCTGCACGTTTCACCAGAAGCACGTTTCACCAGAACTGCACTTCTGATGAAAAAGAACCTGCACATAATGCCCCTCAAGGGACATTATGTAAGGGGGGGAGGGAGGGGTTACAAAGGAATCAAATTGGTAGGGGAAGGTTCGGGTGCCCACACGTCGTTTTCTTTAGAAGGAAGACCATGCCCATCCACCGCGTATGTGTGATCCACTACAAAAAACAAAAACAAAGGAAACAAAGTTACAGAGTGGTTGCAAAAAGCTCAACCAGCTATAGCCGGTCAAGTACTACGCAACAAAGTAATCTTCAAAGACTGTCCTAAACAATGCACACTATCAAAACTTACCATGAACTCTAGTTGGAGGGCTAGCCTTCGAGCTACAGGTCAGCGCCGTGAGGCTGCTCCCCACATCTGCAAAGCAATGACGAGGCAAATAAAAAATCTGTCAAAAATATCAGTCATTGCATTGTTTCAAGATGTTCCTACGGCATGTGACACGCTAGATTAAAAACATGGTCATACATGATTTGCATGTTTCCCAAGAAAGCACAAGTACTGGGAACGCACTCTATCATAGAAAGGATGGCTACTACGCGACAGTCCGAAATATATAAGAAGCATGGCCTGCAACACTTCTCCGCCAAGGTACAATTGCTTTTACCTTGTTCCGTAGTGCGGTGCGTGTGACACCGTGATTATGTGGGCGCACCGATGCTACTGCTGCTGGCCAAAGAGGGCTCGTCCTCGCTGGTCAATCGGCCAGGGTTGCTGCTCCGAAGAACACCTCCGTCTCCTATGCAAAGTTCATTTGCAAAGTTAAATACACACGTTAAGTACACTGAAACAGTTCCTTGTATCTGCATGTGAAATGCCTTCTGAATAAGCTTATGTTCACAGTAATATTGAAAACAAGATTTCGTGCTCACCTTCAGTGGTCAAATATAAATTCGACATGTGTGTGCGTACCGCACACACATGTCGAAGACTACCGCCGCCCCGAGGAGCCGGAGGAAACTAGACACGGGCGACGGGACCGCCACCCGGAGGAAGGAAAGGAAACTAGGCATGCAAGCGCTTAAAACGACGACAGAGAGAGGGCAGTGCGCCTACCTCCTCCTCCTTCCCGCTAAATTTAATGGAGAAATTTTTCCACTAAATTTCGCGGAGAAATTTTTCCGCCAAATTTGGCGGGGAAATGTTTCTTTTATTTAGCGGGGAAATTTTTTCGCTAAATTAGGCGGGGAAATTTTTTCTCAAAATTTGGCGGGGAAATTTTTGCGCTAAATTGCCGGAGAAATTTTTGCCCTAAATTTGACGGGAAATTTTTCTGTTGAATTTAGCGGGGAAAATGGAGTTTTTGTTGACGTACAGAAAAATCCACAGAATCCTAGCCAAAAACAGTTTCGCTGTAAACATAAACGAGCTTACGTGCGTAAACGCGTTGGCGCATCACTCGGCCGAAAAGTGAGGGACAAGATTGCTTTCGAAATGCAGGTTTAGGCAATACCACCCAAAAGACAAGGCCAGCGCATGACGTTTCGTTAGTAGATCCCCGACCCGCCCCAAGGTGCAAACACCCCGAAGCTTGACGAGAGTAGGGGCCCCGCGGAGCTCCGGCGAAAAGTGATCGCACCGCCCCTGGCGAGCTCGGAGCCTCCGCTAGCAGACGAATTCTCCGCAACGCATTGGTTTTGCCTATTTCCGTGCAAGGTGACCAATGAAAAAAAATCGTCACAAGTATTCGCTGCTTCGAATGTTAGAAAATAGGTGCCACCTCAAGTGAAGGACATTTTCTTCGCGTGGGTAAGAGCTAGAGTTTTCAGGTTGCAATTTTGGGGCTCTCCAGAAAAAAACAGTCTGTCACAACTTATGTAAGCGAGACAAAACGAAATGTACCTTCGCACTGTTGTTTTTTTGTTTTTTGAAAAAAGGGCAATGTACAAAAATTTTAGAACGTAGCTACGTTTCAACTTTACTGCTCTTACCAATCATTTCGTTTCGTTGTTGTGGTTCCCGTTTCCTATGAATGTCTTGCTTATAACCGTTTTGTCGAATAGGCGAATAGGATGAAGAAGCAAAAGGCAATTTCGAACCACGTACTTTATTGCGATGTCAGTATGCTCTGAAAGAAGTCGACTGTGCACATGCAAATCTGATGCTATTACTGAAATTAATAAAAGCGAAGTTACAGGAAAAGCAGGCGCGCCTCGCGCGTCCAAAAGAAAAAAAAAAAAAAAACGAGGAGAACGTCGTAGCGCAAATAAAGGTGATTTCGGTCACGTTATATACGGTGCACAAATTTTGATTGCTAGCGCCGGGACGACTAACGTGTCCGTCATCTTGTACGATAAAAGCCGGCACCCGTTGGACCGTCAGCAACTCCTTCCATTTTTCAGTCTACTTTTTTTTTTTTGAGGAGACGTTATGCCGTCGCGCTCTTTCTTCCTTCCGCTTTTATATTGTTTTTTTACAGCGGAGCTGTAAAGGGCTAGGTTCCCCAGGATCGTGTCCGGTATCAAACGCCCATGTCGACACAAACCTACACAAACCTCTGGACAGCTACCGCCATCTATAAGCGACGGCGGCAAGCACGCAAGCAGTCTGGTTGCCGCCGTCGCTCGTAGATGGCGGCGACCCTTCCAGCTCTAATGAAAGAATGGAAAGTTGGGCGCGTTGGTGGGAATTCATCATAGGAAACAGAGCGAAAAAAAGACGAGGAGGAAGGAAAAACGCACGTGACGAGTGCAGCGCTCGTTACGTGTGTTTTTTCGTCCTCGTCTGCAACTCCCGGACATTTTTTTTTGTTGTTTGCTTGACGTTCGCACCATTGCGTATTTTGTTTTGCCTTGTTTGGCTCAGTTTTTGCTCTTTTTCCTTCACTTCGGCGCTTACTACCGTCTGCTACGCTGTGCCCGGACATTTCGAGGGCCGTCTGCAACTTTGATGTTGTTTTCTTCTACTGTGGTCTACGATAACCTCCTATTTTCGCCTTCGATTGAGTTTCTAATCCGAAATCTTCATATGTGCTTTTTGGTATTTATTTAAATATATTGAAAGTGCAAGCTCGTCATACATTTATATTCTAATTTTGTTTGTCTACGCCGGAACGTCTGCTATGGGTCATCGTTGGTTGGTCAACCGGCCGCCTTCGGGCATACACCAGCGCATACTTGGAGATGGCAGGCATGTCATGTCCTGCCTACCACTGCAAAAACAAGTTTTTGCGATGTGTTAGAAAATCCTTCCGCTTCCCGAAGACCAAACTAACGTGAGTAATTAAGTTGCTGCAGCATTCAAATTAAGCTGAAACAAACAACTGTAAAAAAAAGTGAAGCTTTTTTTATGTTGCTGCTTTTCCTTTTCTTTCTGATAGTCTGATAGTATAATGATAGTCGTCGTTGAAGGAGTTTTTGGCCGGATGATTTGTATCATTCTATCATGTGCTCACTTCATTGTTTTATTCGCCGCTGTTCGCTACCTGTTCCCCATTTCTTTTTATTTTCGTCTGAGAAAGGGACCCCATTTTTCCTGCTAAGTTCGGAAAATGTTTGCAGGGTCATTTTCCTCGCCACTTTTTTTTTTTTTTTTGTCATGCTGCAGCGGCTGGTGCGCTTGCTCTGGTAATCTTAAAATGTTGTTTGCGCACGTTTTAATGATCACCTATTTAAGTAAGAAAATGTGACAACGCAGTCTGTAACGGATCAGCAGTAACCTCTTACGCCGTAGTTCGAGCAGCTAAACGCCTTCCTTCCGTTATCGCCTGAGATGGCGTTTGAGACCACTAAATATACTGCTCTATCTTTGTTTCTGCGCGCTTTGTTATTCGGGTGTCGTTGCAGTTGCGATCAGTGGATTCCACTTCGCAAACGGACTGACCGTAATGAATTGTTTTAGCTGTTGGGGTGACGAGACGGGGTTCGCAAAGCGTCTGCTTCCATAGACTCCGAGTCCTTTAGAGCAATATACGACTCTGCTCTAGAGTAGGGTGCCTACATGTCTGTCTGTCTCAGGGTGAAGACATCCATTGTTGCCCTGAATGTGCCAGCGCGTGACGTTCTCGCGCACTCGGTGCGTGACTTGGGCGGTAAAATGGCGTCTATGCATTAGCCAAAGCTACGCGCTCGAGCTGAGTGACACCGGATCGCGCGCACTTCAAAATGCACAAAAAAACGATCGGGCGGAAAAATGACTGAGATGTCACCACTCACGCAAAAGAGCGCGTGTGTATGAAGGCACTCTACTCTAGAGTAAAGCCCCTTGATAAAAGCGTTTTCTTACAAGTACCGCCAACCATTGTTACGGAAGCGCGCGAGACACGTGCCATGAGCGGGTGCTCCGCCGCCATTCGCTTCCAAGGCCCGCTCATTTTAGTGCTGCGCCGCCATTTGCTTCCAAGGGCCGCTCAAGACATGGGCCTCGTGCACTCGCGCATTTGACGCTACTTGCAAGACAAACGTAAACACATCGAGGGGCTTTACTCTAGAGGCGTTCGCCGCGGCTCCTGTGGGTTTTTGGAGGAACTACGCCGCGTTTACTGCCGGCCACAGCGGCTTGCGCGACTGCTTAGCGCGAGCTGCTAACGAGCTGCCACAGTTCACTTGCAACGTGCATGCGACACCATCAAGATTGCCGGTTATAGCAATGCCAGCTCGTCCTGAGCACGACCACTAAGGCAGACGATGTAGCAGACGATGGTGCTCATCCGGGCTATATCTAGGGGGCGCTGAGGGGATCTACTAGTGATGACGTTTAGAGGAGGAAACGCGCAGGCCTTGTGCTCTAGGTGGTATTGGCTGTTCTTGTTATTCTTTTTTTTTTCACATGGCACCAGCGAGCAAGGTGAGTGAGTGTCATGACGCAGAATTAAAACACGACGTAAAAGTCTTCCCGTTGTTAGGCCAGGTGCACTGCAAAACTTGAGAGCTACTTGGCTATCGAAGCGAAACGACGGGAACATACCTGAACTAACTTGATGCGAACCGAACGTTCGATTGCCTCCAGCCAAAATTGATATAAAAGTTTTGCGTGTGTAGATATTTTTCCGGTATTAAAACTATGGTTCCAATCTTGACGGTTGCACAAGCTCCCGGCTCAGAAGACTATTTTACAGGAAAAATGCAACGTGCCCAGGGACGACGAGTAAGTGAACCGTCGCGCTCAACAGACCCTTTTCAGAAGTCCACTAAGCCATTGCTTGAGCACGAAGAGCGCGATTGAATCCTCGCCGACCTCTGACGACTTTCTCCTGTCCCATACATGCTCAGTGTACGTCATCAAGCAATGGCGGACAGGCGAAGGAGCGGACTTTCGAAAAAGGTGTATGCGGAGCGCAACTTTGTCTGCTTCTTTTGAAGGGGCTTGCGGTGACGTCAGAACGACGCCGAGCTCTGATTGGCTCCGATTGAAAGATAGTGCGAAGACCTCAAAGCAAGCTGCCTTAAGGTCTACCCACTACCCCTCCATCAAAGCCAACCAGAACTCGGGGTCGTTCTGACGTCAAGAGAAGCAGGGAAAACTGGCGCTCCGCATTGTCCCTGCACGCATCGCATTCCAAAGTTAAGCCTAATCTTCTTCTGACTTCCTATTTTGCCGGTATTCGGGTAGGGATCACCGTCATTCGTTGTCTCTCGTGGTCTGCAGGAAAAGTAACTCGCGTAGCTTTTTATTCAAGGGTGGGGTGCTGCCGGCACGTAAAGGTGGGCACAAAAGCTAAAAGCGCGAGAGAAAGAAACGTGGAAATTAGTTTTTGTGCCCACCGTTTTTTAGAGTTCATCTGACAAGCAAGGACCTTGAACACATAAATAGAACGCGGAAGCAGAAACCGATATCAGTGCAGCGCCTTGCGAGAGGCAGCGATGAAAACAATAGGGAGTTTTTAGCCGTTCCTTCCGATAACTCCGATAGCGATGCCCGACGCTCTTCCGACGCCTTTGGGGACGCATCGTATTGTTATCGTGTATGGTTGTCAGAGGTACCGGAAGAGTAGAGAGTTTTAGCAGAACGTTTCTTCGCCCCGATAACGACACCCGATATGGATACGATGCATGCCCAAGGCCGCCGGAACGGAGAGGAGGTATCGTTATCGGGGCGAAAAAACGATCTTCTAAAACTCTCTATTGTACTAAAACTCCCTAATGTAAAGCCATCGTAATAAATAGTGCAGGGAAGCCCGTTTGCAGAGAATTAGGTTTTTGAAAAATACGGCAGCAGTACATTCAAGCTTTTTGTGATTGTAAAATTGCTTGCATTTTACAGGGATTTTCAAGTTTATGGAGTTTATTTTTCATACAGTTTGCAGGCGGTTGTTCAGAGTTAATTTTTTTGTGAAATTTGGAGAGAGTTTATCGGAGCTTAATTTTCGCTGAATTTGGGGCTTTTCGGGGTTAATTTTGCAAGATTGCGAATTAATAGAAATTCGAAGCTAAATTTTGCAGTGTTTTAAATTTTCCAAAATTTAAAATATAAATTATCCAACATCCGGAACACAATGGTTGCGGATGTTGTTTAAAACGTAGTCAAACAGAGAAGCGGTACTCCGTTAATGTGTCTTTAGAGACTCTTAGTAGAAAGTATTCTAGAGGTACGCTTTGCTAGCGGGAGCTCGTGCCGTCACTTCGAATTATCGATTGAGTACGTGCCCGCTAGGTCCGCTCTCCGAGGCGTATGGTCTACTAAAACTCTTCATCTGTCGAAACAGAAGTGTCGAAAGAGCGTGCTTGCACGTGTGGTGGGAGGTTGTGCAGGACGCAAGGGGGAAGAGAAGAAGCAAGCACGTGCGTCGGAGGGGACGGGGAGTCCCGAATCATTAGCAGAGTGAAGCCTTGAGCGTGCAAACTCCGAGAGGCGCTAACTTCGCGTTCCTCTCCCCACGGCGCATTAGCTTTGGCAAGGCTTCCTTTCAAAGACGCTGCGCATGATGATGTTCGCGCCGTCGAGGCAGAAATTACGTTCCAACTTCTTGCAGCATCACCGTAAACCAACGAACAGTACGTCTTTTGTTACCACTATCTGTGTTACATTATGATAGGAAAAGGGCTAAACCTATTGTTAGAATCTTTAATTTATTAGCAACTACACGTTGGTTTCTTATTCTCCATACGAATTTTGCCATTAGCACACTTACCGTCTATCGCTGTCACCAAAGTAAATGTTTTAGATAACACATAGGATGTTTGGTAATTTCAAGTTGTCGACAGCAGTGGTGATTGCGTGTGTAACGACTACCTCGGATGTTGTTCGGCCATCGACGGACTGACTGTGCCCGTGTCCTTCCCGAGCAGCCCGGAGTCAGTGAATACGCAGTTCGAGTTATACACCCGAAGCAACACCCAAGATGCGGTTCTTCTGGATTACAAACCTGGATCGGTGAACGAGGCCTTGCAACAATTTAAAGAAAGAAAACACCTTATATTTTTTGTACCTGGCTGGCTGGACCCAACCTTCATACGTCTGCCGACGATAAAAGCGTTGCTGGAAAAGGTAGGCGTGCATTCAGGTTTATGGATAGTGATGTATACATTTGAACCGTGTCTCGAACCCTGTAGATTGTATGCTGTAGCAATGGACCCCCACGGCAGAGTGATCGCAGGTAGACTTAAACTGTACGCTAATTCACACCAAAAAAGTTGACAATTTGTGTTTTCTTTTAAACTTCGATTGTTTTTTTGTCTCAAACAAATGGTCATTTACCTGTGAACTAAGTTTCACTCGTAAATTACATATGTTGTGGCGATAGCCTTCTCACTCTACGTCTGTAGGTTAGATCAAGTTAACTTAATATGGCGCCGGTCGAGGATTAGCGAAAACAAAATAAAATATTTCTTATTGGTTGACAACGCTCGCCCAGAACAAAATCTTTGACGTCACGTCCAATCAGCAGCCGAGATGAATCGCCCGTTCCCTGAGGATCAAAATGAAACAGTTGGAGAGACGGCGTCTGTTTTAGTCAAGCCGATCAAGCAAATGCAACATATTAAAACGTTCATATAGACTTTAGAGTTTTATCGAGCAATCTTTTCCCGTTCCCTGAAACAAGAATATTCGACCTAGAGAAGTTAAAACCACATTTACAATGAAACAAGTGCTCCCCCTACAGAGTCGCGCGTGCGCAGCGGGGTAATTAACAGACACGTCGCCACACTGTGACACTAACACGGCTTTTTGAATACGTAGCTGTGGCGGTCTGTCTAGGTCTAAGCTTTTTTTACTTCCTACTTCTTTTTATTTTTTACCTCGCGGAGTTCTTATAAAGTTTACGTTTCGAACGACCATCGGTAAACGCGAAAACCTCGCACGAGTACTAGAGAAAACCCGAGAATAGAGGCGGCGACGTGTACGCTGCATATTAAATTCAGCAGTCGCTGTACGTTTTAACGCGAAATGCCGCTTTCTGCCTACAAGATATACGAAATGTCATTAACTCTATAAGCGTTTTCAGAGCGCACTTATATTTGATACAAAAGAGAGGAGCTATGTAGGCGATTTAGCGTGATAGTAAGTACTTTGCAATGTCGTTGTCACGATGATTGGACACGAGTTCTGCTGGGCACGTCAGTCGATGTCTTGCACTCAAATGACAAGTACCCCCTCACGTCATACTCAATTTGTGTGAGTAAGAAAACGAGGTTCGTCTCAATTTTTTTCAGCCGAATATTTCTGTCATATAGAAGCATGCGAAGCACCGCAGAAACAACCCGTTTTTTTTTCTTAAAAAAAAGAGCTTTTGCACATGAGCAGCTGAAGGTGCCCGCAGATTTATAGGAAATTTCGATACGGTTACAGATTTTTCTGAGCTCACCCGTAAGGATTCTTCAAACACCGGAGGTTCATGCGAGGCTACAGTCAAGCGTTTACTTACTATTATAGCATGCCCTTGTTGACGGAAAAGAAAGCCACGTGCTTGTCCTACCTCTTTATTTCCATAGCTGTAGATCGAAAGTGCCTTTAATGCGCTTGAAGCTCCAAAGCCACATCATGACGCCAGGGAGATAAGTTTATCTCGCGACGAGACCTCATTGACACACCTTATATATCTGTTCACTTTCTTTCTTGAGTGATGGCATGTTGTCCGGTGTATAGCTAATCTAAAAAAAAGGACTTCTGGTCGGTGCCGTTTTCAGCGTTCGTGCGTATGGCGCGTGCTTTGCTAGCTTTACAAAGCGACGATTGTGCGCCTGTCAGGGGCTATGAAGATAGGACGCTGGGCTGTAGATGTGTAATATTGATATGGTGTATAAAAACGCCTCTTGTGGTTCATATTGGTTATAGGGGAGTTAGTGTTCGGCATAGCTCGTACTTCGTTATCAAGAAAGCATGATTTACACCATGTTTTTCTTTTTTCCATTTGCAAAGGTCGCCCTTGAAATGAAGTTTTCTTTGTTTATGTTTTGCATCGTTTCAGGAAGACGTTAATGTGATTCTTGTCAAGTGGAGTGGCGGCTCTTTTAAGATAAACTGCATCCAAGCTGCCGGAGACACTGCCCTTGTGGGGAGACAGATGTCTGTGCTCGTACAAAACCTCATGAGCGTTTTCCCGGACACAGTGAATGTGTTGGATATACATGTCATCGGCGACAGTTTAGCAGCTCAGGTCCCTGGGTTTTTCGCAAAGCAGTTAAAGAGATGCACTGGGAAGGTCATCGGAAGAATTTCAGGTCAGTCGGCGACTGGTTTTGACTCTGCTATGATTTAATGAGTACATATCGACAATCCATTACAGCTTACATCTATCGTAAATAAAAATAGAAACATTTTCTGCAAAAATTTAGGGTTGTGTGACGGTTTCGTTTCCCATTCCCTAAGTAATCTCAATGATATATTGCGACGCTAAGTGAATATTTTCACCTAAAAACTGCGTTCCTATAGAGACTGTTCACCCCGAGATACAAAGTGCTCGAAAGTCACGGTTCATTAATAGCAATTGACTTATCGCTATGCTTGAGATAGCCCGCCACCGGAGGGCTATCTCCCACCGAGATCCTCCTGCAGACAGACCCAGCGGAAGCGGTCAAGGCATGCCTTTCTTCGGCCCCCCCTCGCTCTCCAACGGTCTGCTCCATCCGGGCGGCTGTAGCGGGACTCGAGTTGGTCCTGGGATCGGCCGCACACATCAGGGTCGTTTGGGTTCCGGGCAACGCGGGCATAGAGGGCGATAAAGCGGCGCACCGGCTGGCAAAAGCATTCTTGTCTCTCCCCTCGGCCGGCCAGCCGCTTCTGCGACCCTTGGATGCACCGTCTGGCTCCGACGCTAGCACAGGACCGTCACCATCACAGCACCCGCGCACCGAAACCAAGCGGCGCCTGTCCACCCGGCTGCCTGAGTGCCCGACCTCCATCCCTAGGGGATACCCGCGGGCGGCCGAGGTCCGGCTACGCCGAATCACAACCGGCTGTGCATGGACACCGTATCGTCTGGCCCGCTTCGGGCTACGTTCGACAGAACATGCAATATGCGACCGGTGTAGTTCAACCCCTACATCGCCACCTCAAGCCAATCAAACTGCCGGTCTAATCCCCAATACTTCCAATAACACCCAGTCCTCAGCGCATCTCGCCGCCCTGCGCCACCTGCTCTGGGAGTGCCCGGCAAGGCGAAAAGAGAGGGACATAGCACTCGCGCAGCTCGGTCCACCACCACAGGTGACGTTCGAGGCCTGGACGGCACCGACAGGCCCCACAGACGTCAAGAGGCGGGTCTTCAACTCACTCTTGGCTTACGTGAGGACGGCCGGTCTGGCCGGCCTTCTGTAAGCCCTCTCCCCCTCCCCCCCTCGCACCCCTCTCCCATTCCTGCATCCGTATACCCTTCCCCTTCACGACAAGGCATGAAACCGGTCGCGTCGTACCCCTTCTAAATATGAATAAAACGTATCCAACAACAACAACTATACTTGAGCATAAACAATAGAAGGATTAAGCCAATTTAAGCTTGAAAATTGTATCAAAGAGGTGAGTGAAACTCGCACAATCTAAGAAATCAGATAAACATGCTTTTTAATTTGATTTCTGTGGTACCCTGTTTTGGTTCGAAATTATTTCATTATAATGTGAGCAAGTGTCGTCGACGCTAATTGCTTTGTTGATGTTTTTTCAATGTTTTTAGGGAAGTACAGAACTGCCTCGTTTTATATAATTTGTCGTGCATTTATTTTTTACTACTGTACAAGAACAGGCAGTCAAGCTGCTTGCACAGCTTTTTCCCTCAGCTCCCACCATGCTTACATGGTGAATAAAGCTATTGCTTTATTGCTGTTACACATACAATTTACACTCAACAAGCTGCTGTGGTCCGCAATGGGTCAGTTTATGTAAAAAAAGAAAGAAGAAACAGCAGTGTCGCATAACAAGTGTATTAGCGGCTGTAATTATAGACGCTTTGCAGCAGCTGTGCATGGACGCCGCCATAACTGACCTTCAGTTTTTGTTTCCTCGTATTTCGTTTATTTCACTTCATCATTACCATAGCAGGCCAGGTTATTGCCACATTAGATTCAGCTGTGTCCTTTTCTAAAGCATCGGCCTTTGTGGAGGATCGTCAACTACCGTTTCAGTTGCTCGGCATCTCGGTAAGACAAGAGAAGGTCAGCCATGGCGGCTGTAATTTGGCGCGTGTGTAAAGCGTCTATAAGGAAACTTCGAAAGGCTCTTATTTTTTGCATATATATTATGGAACGCGCCAATCGCATCTGGTGCCTGGATGGGGCCTCCCATCTTATTGTCTATAGACTGTTGCAGGTTAGAAAATGCAGGACATACTCAACCCACTAAGTTTTCACTCTTTCCACTTTAACAGAGCTAACACTGGAGCGAAGTGGGGAAAAGGAAAATACCAATCATAACGAGGTGAGAGCCTCGTGAGACGGGCTTGCCCTGCTCTGCTTTACCTGCGACAGACAATTGTGTGACGTCACGAACTCTCAAGAAGTGATAATGTAGTCAGTGCGCAGGCGAGCTGGCTCAAGAAGTGTCCTACTTGTCACTTCTGGCCCCACGGACCCCGCGTTGACTTCATCATTAGTGTCAATCGCGGAAAAGCATGTTATGTTTCATGCACAGCGAAAAACTCCTCGCCCTTTACGAGTTTCGAAGACGTGCCCGTGTAATTTTTACATTCACCGTGCCCTTCGATATTGCTAAGAGCCAGTCAGCCGCAAAACGGTGGATCGGTTGGAGATCTGACTGGCAAATTCCAGTGAAATTATCAGGCTTCGATTGCTTCGGTTGGTTGGGAATTATAGTGCTCCGGTTGCAGCGAGTCGAACCTTGAGAAAAGAAACAATATTCAAAAACTACAACTTTTCCCAAATGACACGCGCCATGTTAGCGTTCTCTTTTCCAGCTCCTCTTCCTACGCTTGTGCGCTGGTTTAGAGTGGTCTCCGACAGCTTGTAAATTTCATTTACGGTATACACGTTGTTGGCGATAACATATTTACTGTTGGAACCAGTGTTGCTTTATATTGTCCCTCCGGCTAAGCTGTCTGATGAAAACATTCGTCAACATTTAGAGCTGAATCTGCAGTATCACTGGAATCTGGGGTGCCTAGCAGTATGATCGCCCTTACGCCACGAGTGAATTTTTTAAAAGTCACATTATGCCTTGTGGTCGTTTTGAACTATTAACATGCCGTTTATTTTGTTATTTTATTGTATACATTATATATAAACAGTCAGATATGTTGAACAGGGATGTTCATTTCCATATTTCTGTCTATATTTCTTGTGTAAGTTTAGTTAAAGTTTCCTTCCTAACGCAAGAGTGTTTTTTTAACATTTTGAGGTGACTTTTCTCCTCCTTTAGCTGTGGCTTCATGATAACAATAATGCTGGGGTAGCATCAGGCATGTTCAGTAGACAAATGTAGCTATTGTATCATAGTATAACTATGCTCGTTTTGAGATGGGGATCTGATTATAATATTGTTATCCTTTCTTTGACAGCCAATGAGGCCGCTGCACCTTTGTTCGAAGACACTGGGGTTTTCGTATCGTACAAGGACGTAAAGTTTGTTGACGCCATTTACACTATCGGAGGTGATATCGGCATGTTTCAACCAATCGGACACGTCGACTTCTACCCCAACAACGCCAAGAGGCAGCCAGGGCTGTTTGTTGCCCAGTAAGCGAGGGCTATTTTTATACTCAGGCCAACAAAAAGGACTAGAATTACTAGTGCAAATACCAGCATTCGCGTTTAAATCCATATGCTCAAAGGCTTAAAAAAGAACAGACCACGAGTTCGAGAGAAGTTTGCCAATTTGGAATGTAAAGAGAACGCTATCAAACATCTAGAATGGTAGTACATATATACACCCTTTTCACAACGCTGCAGCCATCTCGAATGTGATTGCCTTTCATATGCGTCAAAACATCGTGTTTTTTTGTCTCTACGCCGCGAGAAGGTGTTCACGAGACATGCGTGATTGTCACACACTTTTGTTTTGCCTGATCTATATTTTCTCGCATATTCCAGGCTAAAATGTCTTATTTATTTGGTCTCGCACACCAGATATGGGACCCACGTGACTGAGAACGAAGGAAACAAAAAATGGTATATATCTAACTCTGAAAGCCCGAGCTTCTAAATGATTGCTACTCATCAAGGTAGCACGCCAGTAAAACAAAGTTTGACAATCCTAGGGACCTAAGTCCAGCCAAATACGGTTTTTTCCCCAAGGCGTTAGTGCCTGAGCACTCTTTCTTTTTGGGGTTTGAATGAATTGTCTTTGACTCGCCACACAATTGCCAAACCGCCAGACTTGAGCCAAATATGCATGCACGTATGAATCAAAGAACCAGCAGTGAAGCCTAGATCTGATACTTGTTTGGCAATTTATATCCAGAATAGCCACATAAAAACCGAACAACTAAATGTGAAGCCTAAGGATCTGGCTCTCGTTAGGCAATTTAGGCCCAAAGATGCCAGATGACAGCCAAACTAGCAGCCGTGAAATCTAACTTTTTGTATTTTATGCCGCTTCACCCTTTCCATCTCCTTCGACGTCTTCCGCCGCCTGCACAGACATCAAACGCAGGTCCGTACCCCCTCGATTCGTGGGTTCACAACTCGCGTAATAGACGGTGTAGCCTCGCGCGAGGGGGTCGAATTCTCTTTGTCTCAGATGTGCGCTACTGCATTCTAGCACGCTCTTGAGGCACGGCTGAAAAGCACCCGGCGCGAGGCTAAGAACATCGTCCTCGAGGGTACGGACGATACCTCTTTGGGTTTAATTGTCTGGGCATGGTAATCGAGTTCACTCCTCACTTTACAGTCAACTGTCAACATAAAGGGGGGGGGGGGGGGAGGGATTAGGCCATCTAAGGAATGCTGACAGAGAGAGAGAGAGAGAACGCGTAAAAACGGTGTGATCCTCTATTGTTTTGTCAGACCGATAGCCACGCTCTGATAGCCACCGCTTCTCTCGCTCTCTATGCCCTCCCCTCCCCTGGCCTCCACGAATATTGGTATGAAAGTGAGAACCGATGAACAATCGATGACCCGTTACCGCCGCTTCTTGTCTGTCTGGTCGAATTTTCGGTCATGGAGTGTCCGTCGTCTCCATGGCCATCTCTTAATGATATGTTCAAAATTCAGGGCATGAAGGAGAACGAACACCTAGGGCTTCAGTGCATGCTTTGCTTGCCAAAAAACACACATTGTCATCAGCAAGAACAACAAACTCTAATCAACGGGAACACATCAAGGTAAGCTGCATTCTGCATTGGGTACACTAACGTTATAACCAAGTTTTTCTTTTCTTGTGAATAACAGGCGAAACACCCGAGTCAAAAGGGACATTTTGTAGATCGCTTCTTTAGCTCGGAATATCGTAGCAGAGGTAGACGCTGCTACTGAGCATGCGCACCACCTGCTTTGTCTGCACAATTCCAGGGGTCATTTCCGGAGGCTGTAAGCTAGCGGGATGGCGGGTGTGAATGCAGCTTCCGGTGCCTTGTCAGCTAACAGGTGAACGGAGTGCACTTGTTAGCTGACAAGGTTATTATATTTAACTTTTTGACGACATACGCAACGCTAAATACAGGATGTAGAGGGGGAAAAACACAGACACGCTGTTAAACTAACTGCTTAATAACAAAAAAAAAAAAAAAAAAAACGATCCCACACAACGTCCTAAAACACAGCTAGTACACCCTATCGCCACACGCGAAATAGCCTCAAATGATCACAAAAGACATTGATTTCAAACATTTTGTGAAACCTGAATTTTAAAGCCACTATAACAAACATAAAATGCAAGCCTCTGAAAAATTTTTTTTTAACAAAATATGTAACAAAAACGTTTAACACTAACCATGTTTTTCAGTAATTCGCTTGATCAGTTGTGTTTTTGAGCATCCGTATTCGAGCTGGTATACTACACTCAGTTTCACTTTAAAGGGGCCCTGCAAGGACTTTTTTACTGGATTTTAATTTGCACCGAACTTGAGCGCACTGAACGTAGTAACTTAATTAAACGTTTGTTTCCTCGAAGTTTGCTTTATTTTAAAAGTTATAGGCAAATTAAAATTACAAAAACAAGCAAAAATAATTTCCTTCATGACGTCCTGGGTTACTTGAGTGGCCGTGAACCAGAGGAGGGCTAGTGAGCTCAGCGAGCGGTCACGGCTGCCGCACTCCGTGTCGACGGCTCGAAAGGGTGCCAATAAAGCATGTTCTGGCTAGCCTGTATGAAGCGGGCAGCCAGGGCGGCTCGCATTGCATTTGCTGCGCGATTAGACACTAATTCGGCATGACACTTCATTGGCCACAAACGACAGCAAACACGGGGTAAAGATCAGGTCAGACCATGAGCCACTTCGCGCTGCCATACCGCCAAAAGGTCAAACCGCAAGCCAAAGCTGCTCACCGAAGGCCTCGGGAACGCTCTGAACCGGTCGGATCCTCCAGTCCATACAACCGCAGCGCCGCCGCGTATGTACTGATCCCACTACACCTTTCTAGGATGCGCCGCCTTTCCCACCACTTGGTGGCGGGTATCTAGACGGGTCATTTCTTGTTTCCGTACTTTCTAAACTGCATTTGTTTCTTTTCTGATCTAAAAGCGTGAACAAATACTACTTTTATAAACAATTGAAACGGTTCGCGCAACTTATATTTTGTATTTCGACTAAAAAGAAGCTTTTAGTGGCTCTGACCAGGACCAAAGACGTCACATATCGCGCGCTTTCGGCACCGCGGGTCGCCCCCTTAGGGGGAGGAGGTTTCCGCGTCGTCCGGTTAAAATATGACGCACTGATATTTAGTTACTCTCTCCGTGCCCGCTGGCTTGCCCGAACCCCAAGAGACGAGGAAACCGCAAAAAAAAGGTAGACGCTTAAATATGATTGCAGGGCCCCTTTAAGTCTGATCACCGTCGAAGCTATACGACCCGACCAAGCAGCACCAAAAAGTTTATCGTAACGGCCCTTCTCTTTTGTTCGCTTGTCATAATCGACTAAACAATTCAAGCTCAGGGAGTTCGACGCGATCCTTTCGATTTTGTGTGTGCGTGTTTGGTTTAATCAGTGACATCACATGCCCGGATGGACAAAGAGCGCCGTGACGATGCGCTTTTTTGTGCTGCTTGATTGGGCTACATCGGATTGTAATGTTGGCTCATAGCCTCCTCTGTACTCACAAAGCCTGGCAGTTCGACGATGGAGCCATACAGTGCCCGGTCGCAAATTTGGAGCGCGAGGATCTAATATCACTGAGCATCAAAGAGTCATTTCTCGGGGAACCTTGACGTCAGCGCACAACCTTTGCAGTGGCGAGGACACGAAACATACTTGTTCGCTCGGAAGAAGTGGGTTTCGGCGTCTCGCCGCAACGGGGCTCTGCTCACGTGGCTATCCTTTCTACTGTTGTCTGCCGCTCCATCTTTTCCATTTCCGCCGCCGCTTCTCGTGACGATTTGCCAGGCTTTGTCAGGATATAGGAGGATATATGGTTAGCTTCGGTCGAACTTAATGCGAAACGAGGTGCTCCTTAGCGAAAACTAAGATATTTGAAATATACCACATTCTAATTTGAGTGTATTTCAAGTAGAGTTCATATTTGTAAGCACACAAAAAATATGCCGGAAAATATACAATGTTTTTACTTGGTACTAAAATATATTTTTGAAATCTTTTAAAAATACTTTTATTTAAACTGCATTTGAAGTATTCTTCATGCATTCTGTAATATGTAAATATCAAATTAGCGGCACAAAATACCTTTCACATAGATTTCTGAAAATATTAATTTATTTAATGCAAAATATACACAAACCGTAATAAAAATTCAGAGATAAAAAATATGCGCAGAATACGCCTAAAATACGCTGGAAATCATCAATACTGTTGTGTTATACCCTAAGTATCTTTTGACTGCAATTACATTCATACAAAATAAATTTACTTAAACCACCAAAATATTGAAAACCAGCTCATTAGAAGTGCACTTCAAAGAGATGTGGAGAACACTGAAGTGCGTAAATACAACATTTGATTAGTTTGTCAATTGAGTTGTGCAGCATCGCACTGAAAACTCAGCATAGTTTATGTTATTGTTTTCTTTTTTCTATCAAGAACGCACCTGGTGATTTTCTGGCACACCAATCACAAACGGGATTCGGAAACTACAGCCGCAACACTTGCTGATGCAGCAAAGCTTCAGCAAGTGCTGTGTGCAGGTATGATTGTCGTGGTTGTATTAGCACAATGTTAGTTCACTGAATCTGAATACTCACATTGTACGTGGTGTGAGTAGTGACTTTCATATAGTGACTTTAATGACTTAGCGACTTTAATGGCATCATTAGATTGTCAACTAGTAAAGAAAAGCAAAATAACTATTTTAAAGTGAAGAAACTGCCTTGACTCGCTTCGTCCTGAGTGGTGCTATTCGGGTGAGCGATAAAAAATCTTCCAGGAGCCGTTTTTGTGGATGTTGTTTTGGCGACTGCGCCGAATTATTATTAGTTGTACCAATTCTTTTTAGTAAGACGTATCGTTCACGAACTTCGAAACACTGTATTCCCTTTGACAGACTCCCGAGGAGAAGATCGAATACTTGAAACCTTAGTAAGTGCAGAGGTGGTCACCGGCCAAATGATTACCTTCAATATGTAGGCTATATAAGGCTCTGGAGCAGTCAATAGGACTGTGATTCATGCGTTCAGTGCGTCATGGTGTACGTGTTTCTGTTCGTTTCTAATATGTAGTTGTGGGATGTATGTAGTACATAGACACCATTTACCACATAGACACCATTTACTATCAAAATGCAAAATAAAACAATATAAAAAATTGAGTAGCCGGTTTTTAATACACAAATGTCATCTTGAGGGTAAAGGAATTATATTTTCGGTATATCTAAAATCTTTTCTGACTGATATTTATGATATACTTTGAATACCTTACGCGCATACCAGTATTTCGAAGGTGGTCAAAATAACACAGAATGAATACAGAATTGATATGCATATTCAATATATTTCAACTATGTTTCAAGTACAGCCTCTTTTGCTAAGGGGTAAAATGTCACTTCCTTATTTACCATGTATTCCAGCCAGTTCTTCCCTTAAGCTTTGCTATACGACGCTACGGGTAGCTAATGCAAAATTCGGCTTCTGCGTTAGTGTCCAGTATTTGGATTCCTCGTCCAGGGGCATCGATGCTGTAGTAGCCCAGTTGACCGAGGTCTTCCTTTCCGGGGATGCATTGGTTTTTCTTCAAGGCTTTCAGTCCTCCGAGGCAAGGCGTTGACGTGAAGTTACAGTGGTCATTTGTGAGGGACTCCAGGTAATACAACAAGGAACCTCTGTGGCTGCAGAATAAACCTGAAACACGAGAGCATAGAAGTATACGCCGCAGAACCGTGTCTGCGTGTCAGTGACAGCTTAAAAAACTCGGGGCATGTTGAGTTACAGGCAGCTCATTATCGCTCCGGAGTCAATAAGTATGCGGCATTAGCCGATAAGAAAACTAAAGAACGAACCAGGAGGCAAGAAGGATGAGCAGCCACACCCTACTTTATTAAGCCTTCAGGGACTTTAACAGCTTAAGAAAAGGTCCCAACCACCTTATTATCAACGAATCAGAATTAGACATTAGCCGATAAGAACGCCGACGAACGAATCACGGATTAAGGAGCGTTAACGTAACAAGCCAGGCACGGCGTTTTTTTATGCTCCCATGGATTATGCTCTGCGAAACTGAGAGAGAGAAGGAGACGAGAGGGGACATCAGAATGCCGAGCTCTGGCTGTAAGGATTAGTGGGTAAACCTAAATCTATAGCAGCCTTTGGCTCCACTGCTCTCGTCGAACGCGTTAGAACGCTGAACGCCGACGGGCTGTGGCCCTGGAGCCCCCGATCAACATATCGGATTCCAACCTCTCAACCGAGGCCACCACCCTCTTGTCAAAGGGACCCAAATTTGCGCCCCCCGCCCCCGTCGTCGAGGGTCGACCAACTGGCGCCTGTGTACGAGATTGCGGCAAGGATCACGGAGCCCGACCGACAGGACTTTGTTGCGGCGGCGACGGGAGTCATCTGCCACCACGGTGCCGTGACGACACCGGCTGGCTCGGGGGTGTCACGCGTGGTGAGCAAGCTCCGCCAGTCAGACCTTGTGCTGCTCGAGGCAGACAAGGAGGGTCGATTCGTGGTAATCGATCGGGGCGACTTATCCAAGAAAGCGGACTTGGCCCTGAAAAAGAACTTTGTCCCCCTCAAGAAGCGTCCGTCGGGGGCCCTCCGCTCTGAGGCAAAGTCTCTCTGCTCCTCTTTAAACCTCCCCTCCCTAAAAAATTTGATCTCTTCTCCCTCCAAACAGTATCTGACTATCTTCTTCTCGGCGAAGACGCATAAGTCAGACATTCCCCTTCGCAGCATTGTCTCCGAGAGGGGACGCTGGCAGAAGCCGCTCGCCCTCTACCTTCAAAGGCATCTCTCCTCTATTGATCTTCCTCACCCCTGCCGCGTGAGAGACTCTCTTGAGGTAATTGATCACCTTACAACGAAGCATGCCGATCATGACCTCAACCTGTTCTCTCTGGACATTTAGGACATGTACTACAACCTCGACCTCAAAATTCTTCTAAACTCTGTGTCTGAGGCGATTGAGATGCATGGGGTGACGAGGTTTCAGAACGCTTCGGGAATACCCACCGGAGGCTTTCTCGACCTCCTCCGGCTCTACCTGAGATCCTCCCTCGTCGAGTACGAGGGGGAGATCTTCATCCAGAAGTCTGGAGTGTGCATGGGCTCCTGCCTCGCACCGATCCTTAGTGAGATCTTTCTCTTCTTCGTGGATCGTGCGGTGCAGGAGGATCTTGCTCGCTCCGGTTCTAGATGCAGGATATTCAGGTTCGTGGACGATTACCTCGTCGTTCACCCATCATCCACCTCGGACGTCTCTGTCCTGCATGCCTTCGCTGCCAACGCTGGGGGTCTCTCCTTCACAAAAGAGGATGCTAACCAGGAGGGGCTCCAATTTCAGGATCTCCGCCTCACCCCTTCCTCCCACGGCCTACGCTGGTCCTTCCAACAGCACTCTCAAAAACCTGTCCTTCCTTTCACTAGCCATCATTCAAAAACAGTAAAATCCGGCATCGTCAAATCTCTTCTCTCCTCCTCCTGTAAGAAGTCCTGTCCCCACCTTATCAAGGAGAGTCTCTCGCGCCAAACGGCTAGGCTTCAGGGGGCAGGCTACCCCGCGGATCTGATTGAAAACAACATCAAAACTTTGATCGTGCAGTCCGGGAGCCGCCCCCGCAATCCCCCACCCAGATCCTTCTCCTCCCGCCCTGCATGCATTCCCTACGTCCACAACACATCCCATCGTTTGAGTGCGCTTGCACGCAAATTCGACACAAGGGTCCTTTTCACCTGCAAATTCAAATTGGGTGGAATGTGCAAGCGCGTCAACAATCCCGAACCTCCGCCCTCCTGCACTAAAAAACACGCCCAGTGCTTCCGCCCCTGCGCGCGAGAGAAAGTGTACACGATCCCTCTTTCGTGCGGAGCGGAGTACATCGGTCAAACGGGCCGATGTATCAACGACCATCTCCGTGAACACGCGAGGGAGATCACGAGCCCGCCCGAGGATTCCGTGCATCCGGTTGTTGTCCACGCAAAAAAATGTTCCTCTTGCACACCCCATTTCACCCAAACAAAAATCATAGGGGGACACCGATCTCGATTCGGAAGAGAAATAATAGAATCCGTAAGCATCAAGTCGGCGACAGCAAACCTTTCCAGCCCTTCCCTTTCCCTCTCGGAGAGAGAGATTAGCTTCCTGCGAGGGAGGGGAGCCCCCCAGCACACGCGGCACTAGAACTTAAAGGTTTGGGAAAACAGTGGCAAACAAAAACAACCCCGGAAAGCCGCCCTCTGTTCTTACTTCTTCTCGCCTTCTGTTTTCGCTTGACCCTCTGGTGCTCCGGTCCGTCTTGCGCCTTCCCCGGAGAATTCCGATGACCCCCTCCCCCCTTCCCCCGCTCTCCGCCGCGCCCCCGACGGCACGAAGCGACGCGAGGTGTCATCTACGAGAGAGGCGACACGGACCAGGCCACGCCGTGGACCAGACTCCCGACCAGGGTTGTAAAGTACCTAGGTACAAGTAACTGTAAATCGGCATCTAGGTACTTTTGTTGTACCTGAGGTACAAACCTAGGTACTTTCATTTCTCAGTATCTGTATCTGTACCTTAAGTACATTTTCCAGTAACTTGTAACTAAGTGAAGTTACTTTTTACAGGTACTTTCTAGTTACTTCGTCAAAATCGTAGAAAATACAATATAACATATAACTGAAAATAAATTATAATTACAGTCGTAAAGCAATTTAACGTCACGTTGTGTTTCCATGCAATAAATCGAACTCACATTTTGCACTTTACAAAGCTGAAAATGCTTGTGAAGAAAAACAAAAAAACTGGGAGGACGATTCACCTTCGACTTTAAGAGTTGAAGGCGATAGGGTTATCGGGCCCCGTTCGCATGGCCTTCTCAATCGCTTCTCGTGCTCTTGAGTCACACGACGACCTAGTTCTTATGATACAACACTCCTGGCGCTATCGAGGAGCTTTTGCCAGTGCTTTGATGCCATTTTACCCCGCAAGGTTTATTTATGTGTTTGCTCGGCACGCGCAGACAACACTCGATGCGATAATGCCTTTACCCTGACACAGACAGACATCGAGGCACTCTAATGACGGCAGGATCGCAGTGCCATTCCCAAGCCCTCCGTTGCCTAGTCGGTAGCATGTCTGGCTCGCAACCGAAGGGTCGTGGGTGCTGTCCTGCGTAAATTCTTCAAATTTTTCTCTAAGGCAAATGAATTAGTTTATCAAGTGGGATCATCTGAAACATGCGGCGACCATTAATTCGTGTGTCTTTAACCACCTTCATTCCACGCGTAACGTCACGTTTCAGATGAGCGTTGTGGGTTGTTTGAAATTCCCGCGCGAATTCATGTGGCTGTGACGTCACGACCCTATCGACCATTCAAGAATTTTCCGTCACGCCACCGACGCCACCGACATCCGACGGATTTTCTGTGACACGAGCTCCTAAACGCTCTCGCGTTAAAATATTCTCTTCCTTCCTAAAAACATTGACACCAATAAAGCACGTTTATCAAACTTGTTTTTGTGTACATCCCAGTATACAAAGGATTTACTTCCAATAATAATGTGACAAATTTGAGAAAAATACTTGGTGTGAAAATAAAAAAAGTATCTTTGAAGTACCTGTACCTGTACCTAGGTACATTTTTAAGCGAGTAACTAGATACGCACCTAGGTACATTTTCGTATGAGTAACTGTAACTGTATCTTAGGTACATTTTTAAAGTAACTTTTACAACCCTGCTCCCGACCGCCCGCTGTGTTCGCCCCCGCAACGGTCTCCCTGTGTTTCTTACACCTCCCCTCATCCCCCTCCCCCCTTTCCCCATCGCCTCCCCAAGTCGAGCTCTGAGCGGCGAGCCGCCTCAGTAAGTCTGTAGTTGCAAGTCGAAAGCTGTGTCGTCTGTTTCGTCCTCTTGTGTGTTTCTTTCGTTTTAAGTCAATGTAGATTACCAACATCCGTTTTCATCTATTTCTGCCCCCTCCGATTGTCCGAGAACGTGGATAGTAGCCGTGAAAAGGTCAAACCAGACGCTGTCGAACTACGATTGCTCGTGCCGGCAACACTTTGCGATCGCCAGATGTAGTTGTTTTGTTCCAACATGAACGAGAGAAAACCGCCAAGTTGTCCGGACCACCCAGGGGTTCAGTGCGTCATCAAATTCACACGGCCGCCTGATCGTTCAAACTTTCGTCTGCTCTTTCAAACTTGTCTGCTTTTTGTCGTCTGCTTGTTCAAACAAAAGCGGCCCGTAGACCAAACTTTGACCCAGTGATTGCAATAAGAAGTAATTTCAGGCCTCGAAAGACTTAAGTAGGTTCGGTGTAAACAGTAGATACAAGATGCTGATCATTGGTACCAGTGGCCATCACCGAGTTGTCAGTATCAACGTCGATCATCGCCGCTACCTTCTACACTTTTCCAGCACGAGCGACGTCGCGACCAAAAATAGCTAGAAGAATCTCGTCATGGTTTTGGCGTCCATTCTGCGGCGTTCAAGCGAATGAATCGCCGCACGTGAAATTATTTACGCAAAGGTTAGCGGCGTAATGAGCCTTTATAACTTCGCTCGGGCGATTAAAGTGGTAAGACATTACTATGAGGACGTGGAATCGACAATTCTAACGCGAAAACGAGTACGCAGACTCACACAGACGCCGACAACGTGACTTTCCAATGGTTTGTTGACGCAAAACTTGGTGCTTCTTGCCCGCACTCCATTGCGCATGCGTTCGAATGGACCTTTTCCGAGAAGCGTTCTGCGCACGCGCGAGCGCCCGATGCCAAGCGGCGGAAGTCGGAACGAAAAATCGAGGAAATTCGGAATGAGCCTGTGGATAAGCGAGTAGAACAGGTAATTGCAGCATATATATAATTGGGTTACACAAAAAAAGAAAGCGGACGGAAGGAAAAACACAACGATTGGGTGGACGCCACAGATGCCCATCTTTAAGCTCGCGTTGGGCACGCGACGCAACTCGGAGAGCGAAGAAACTGGTAGCGTAGCCCCCGGTATCGATTGGTAGCGCAGGTAGGTCACTTCCTCGATTTTTAGTTCGTACAGCCACCGCCTGGTGCCGTCGGTATGTGGAAAAGGTCCGTTGTCGTCTGCTCTTTCAAACTTGTCTGCTTTTTGTCGTCAGCTCGTTCAAACGACAGCGGCCCGTAAACCAAAAGTTGACCCGGTAATTGCGATAAGAACTAAGTGCAGGCCTCAAAACACTTTTGAAGGTTGGTTGGGGTAAGTAGGCTAAGTGTAACCAGTAGATACCAGAAGATGTTGATCATTGTTACCAGTGGCCATCACCGACTTGTAATGCCCGACTCTACTTGCGGTTTTCACTATCGACGTCCACCATCACAGCTACGGTCCGCGCTTTTGCAGCCTGAGCGACGTCGCGACTGAAAATAGCGAGCAGAATCTCATCGCGGGAGTCGCGCTTTAGCGCCCATTCTGCGGCGTGCACGTGAAATGAAATGCCGCACGTCACATTATTCACGCAAAGTTTTGCCTCGTTATTTAGCTGAAGCCGCTCAAGGAGTCAGACATTGTTAGGAGGACGTAGAATCAACAATTTCAGAAAAAAGAAGAGTACGGGGACTCCCACCGACGCCGACAGCAACGCATTTCAATGGTTTGTTTATGGGCGACGGCGGGCTTCTTGCCCACCGTCTACCGCGCATGCGCGGCGCCGGTGGCGTCCGCTAGGGGCGCTCCGGTTTGTTTGTAAACATGAGTTGGTGTATAGATTTTTATATTCGCACTGCTATCTTTTAAGGTGGGTGCAAGAGATATCTACACTCCGTCTCACCCTGTACGATGGACTAGGCTCCGAAGGCTGGGGGCGGAGCACTGCCTCAGAAATGCTTGCATCCGCATTGCGAAAGAGTGCGCGAAAAAAATTCACAGGAGCCGCAGCGTGGGCTCAAGAAGCGGAAGAAAAACTCGCTTACGCATGACGCGTATTGGCGTACTGATACGTACGACGGTGCAAATATACCACCTGGTTTCTAACAGGCTCGTGATTGAACCTGGGGGCCTGTAGTATTGGGCTTTAGTTCATCGTAGGATGATATGGAGCATAGTGTAAATAGTAAATTACGGACACCGGAAGCGCCATATCAATGTGTTGCCAGACAAGAGTGCGAGGGAGGCTTCCCCATTTTACTCCGTTCCCCATCAAGTCCAACCAAAGCCGACGAATCGATGGAGTCGATCAGTCAGCGCCAAACGTGCGTCGTCATGGCGCTTGACCTCTTTGTCTGTTTAATATCACCGGCCAAACCGTTCTCGCAGAGAAAAAAAAAAGATCATGGCGGGATCACTCTGCGTGATTGGTTTAACACGGGATACACCCTCAGGTTGTAGTACTTACGCTCCTTGTCCCATAAATTAAAACCAAAGAACTATACTTTGATGTTCAGGTACTTGACGTCGAACCGCGACGATAGCGACTTCCACGAGCGGCTCGATAGTCGAGTGAAAATTATTAAAATGGCTAATGTACGTATTAAAGACTACGAGGGCCCTAATTTGCACGGCGGGAGCTACGGACAGGGACATCGCAGACTGCTCTGATTGGTGAGCTACGCGGAGCTGGCCAATCGCAGAAGACGGCGATCTCCCGGCCCTCGGTGCCGTCGTGTAGATTAGAGCCCCTGGGAAACACTCAAAGTTTTTGTTGGCCCTGTTGCAAAACCTCAGTGTTTTTTTTTTGCTGCAGTTTTTGACACGTACATTTTCTATTTAGTAAGTTGTATGACTTGTATCACACGGGTATCAAGCCGCTCGTAAAAGTTGTTATAGTCAATACAACGTCAGTGGGCTGGACATCGAAATTTTGTTTTGGGGTTGTATATATGGGACAAATGGTGCATGTACTACACCTCCGGCTCCTGAGAGTGTAGCAAACGTACAAAGAAGACGATTGCCGTGGCGATGGGCGCTGCCTGAATGATCCCATTGGACCGTTTAGCGCCGCTGCTGTAGGAGTTAAAGTGAAATGGAGTTATACTGTGGCTCAGCTGTTCAGCAAATGACGAGGCAATGAATACGAATTATTTCTAGCATCTAAATCTTTGTAGGTATTAATCTCGTATCTTACTAAAAAGACTGCAGCCTGGTTGCTTCCTCCCGCCGTTCACGTAGAAGTCGACGTGTCCAATGGGGTTATAAATGCCAAACTCTTTGAATATGGTCTTGTTGCCTCCGCTCGTGTGAATGGCGTCCACAAACACTGCGTCCCTGTGAGACACGTAGACACTGGTGTCCGCAAATAGAGGCGCGGCTGCGTCCAGAGCTGCGTAAGATGACAAAAATTAGGTCGGTGCATAAGCCTCCTGTGTTGCCCAGGGGGCGCTGCAACAGGGACCTGTTAGAACTTGTTTTGGGTAGTACACACTTGAGCGTCTCAAACTCTCACGCATGTAGAAGCGTGCCTGCTGTCGTGCGGAACACTAGATCCCCCCCAAAAAACACAAGGAAACAACAAAATTTCAAACGCCGTCGAAGCACAGGTCAAAGCTAAGACGCTAACGGCATGAGCCGAGAGATGCCGATTTTCGCGCGTTCCGAAGTAGAAATAAAAAATAAAAAAAGCCTCACGACGCCATATGTTTTATGCGTCATTACCCAGAAAGAAGAGACGCGTACCCTAGCGGTGGTGGCATGAACCTTTCACTTTCAATTGTCTTGCGACGTTCAATCTAGCCAATGTTGGACGTCCAAAGGTATGTTTCTGTTCTTCAGCGCCACAAAAAGGACAAAAACTCACCCAACGTGCCATAAGTAGACGGAGGCCCAATCAGATGCAATTGTACTACCCAAAATGAGGGCGCCACAGTTTGTTCAAAGCTTCCGCGCACAAGGCCCATAGCTGTACTATGTTGCATAAAATTTCGTAGAACTACGAGTGGGTGGCACGAGGAATGAGTGGAGAGGTTAAAGGGATGCTGAGCCGAACATTACAGTGTCTATAAGTGGCGCACAATCTTTCCGCGAGCCAGCATCCGCCAGTGTGCTATTTTATTCATTTTAGAAGCGTGTGCCGTCCCATGGCTGTCCGAGCAAGGTCTGAGCAGCGCCGTACAGGCCCTCGCTCCTCTAGCTTGTCCTGGACAGATTGTTGCAGCAACAGCTGTTGAGTTTTCATTTTCGAATGCAGTTTATTTCCTGGCAGAGTGCAGACAGTTACCACTGTTACTTGCATCCAATCTTATTGTCTCACTCTTAGCCAGTTAACAAGACTAAATAATAATTTTCTTTTCAATTTCAAGCGTACTGTTTACACTTGGCATAAGGCAGTGTCATCAGAATGCCAGTCTTTTTGGTGTACTGATGGATAACAAAGATCTACGAAGACAACTATATTCAATGCAGATAACACTGATGTTGGCGTACCGACAGGAGTATCAGTTGCAACGTGAAGAGAACAATTTAAAATTTGGGCTTAAGCGCTTTCTCGTTGCAGATCAACTGAGGTGTCTCGAAAAGTCCAATATGAAGGGGACTGCATGGAGTAAAGGCACCCTCGAGAAAGGTTTTTAAGATTCATCTTTCTTGTGGTTCCCATGGTTTCAATGTGGTGCCGGGGAATCGCGGTGGATTTTGCCTGCAGAAGGCACACTTCATTGGCATCTCCAGGACTTCAGGTTCGTGCCCGACATAATGCACAAGCTGAGGGATTCTTTAACATACAAGGCGAGTCAAAGTTGCAGCATATAACACACTCCTACATCCTTATCTTGAGTATGCATTTGAAGTCGGATACCTGCAAACCCGTCTCATCAAGTAGCTTGTTGTATAACCCATGCTGTTTGTACAATTTATTGTCTTCAGGTGTACCGTACCAGTAACACCATCAGGTGTAAGGGCCTTAGAAGTATTTTAGGATATGTAAAAGTGACTGCACCTGTCAGTAAAGTTACTGCACATTTGTCAAGTTTTAAGAAAGCATTTTGACGGTGTATGGTGCGCCTCCGTGTCATTTATCTTATTTTTTTTTCATTCTGTGATTTGTTTTGTTATGTACTCAGCATATGTTCTGTTTTTATTTTTATTTGTCTGGCAGTTTTGAGAAATAAATAAAATTGTGACTTTGATTTTGTTCTTTTTAACGTCATATAGGCTTGTGTATTTTCATGGAGTTTTTGACCTCGCATTCGCTTTATTTGAATGGTTCTCTGCATGAGATTTTAATTATTTTTTGCCTCGTTTCCTTTCACTGAAAAAGCATCAATTGCTTGACTTTTTTTCTTAGATTTGGTGTAGACTCCCGAGGCTTTATATGCATGTACAAGAATTATTATGTAATAATATTGACATGTTTAATAGAGAACTTTCAGATCTTCATTAAAATTGTATAAAAGTAAAATTCGTAAGCCCTCAAATTGATGCTGAAATCGAGCGCATGGTTCTCAAGTTTGCACTAGGTTTCCAACCCTAGAACGCTGATCCAGGAGTCTAAAAGCAGCGGAAATCGTAATTAAACCTGGATTTGTTTTTGATGTGAATGAATAACCAAAAAAATACAGACACTCTCATAAAATTACGAAGTAACAAAACTAAATGAAAACAGAGTTTTCATTTCTAAAAACGGTTTCATCGAATAAAATTACGAAAATAGTATTTATTACGCTCGGAAGAGTAGCGGCATCGCGTAGCCCCGGAGCGAAAGACCCGCGGTGTGGCAAATTTTTACAGCATGTACAGAATACACACGCAGAGAAATACGTAGCTATTTTTATCATTACTAGTACTGCAGTCAGCTTAAGAATCAATTGAAATTGTGGAGAATATCATTGCAATTTGTCGGTTTGATATGATGATTAAAAACGACTTGCAATTCCTGTGAAGCCGAACATTCACGAGAAACCGGCCTAACGCAACACGGTAGCAACGATTGGGATGATTATCCATAGCACTGTCGAGATCCACGGTTGTACCAACAGATCTAGAGCTGCTTCAGGACGGTCGGATGCGGATACGGGCTCTCCATGAGGTCATTGCTACACTTATATGACGAGAAAGATCCATACGATCGGCAACTCGCCCGCTCCAGCTGACCGAGACGTCGAGACGCTTGGGAAATTCCAGAGGGAGCCTCCGTCGCCAACCGGAAGTTAGAGGTGGTGTAAGGAGGACGAGGGAAGAGAATGCGCCACTTTCCCAGATACAGGGACTTTAGAGCGTGGAGCGAAGATTCTGGAATTACCAGTTCTGACGAATTGTACTTACCTGAAGTTAGAGCGGGAATTATACTTCAGCCTCTGTCGCAATTACTATCAAGTTTACAATTGCTTTTTCCTTCTATAGGCTCCTTGCACTGACGTCAAATCGCATACTTTTGAACACCATGTAAAAGAAGGAGAGGGAAGCTGCTTTTGTAAGAATGATGAGTGACATGTTAATCTTCTATAACCTTCTGGGAGGAGAATAGCGACGCCTGTGCAAATCTGGAGGCGCAAAGGAGGATCCTGATAAGAGAGGAGCTCCTTCTTCCCAGGGCCTTCTGGAGGTCATCGGAAATGACGACATGTGCAAGCCACGTATACCGGAACTGACGTCAGCGTTTCAAAGCTATTTTGAAAACAAAAAGTAAGTGGCGCCATAGGCGCTTAGGGAAGCATTCTCCCCTTCCGACTTCATCTTTCCTTCGTTGATCGGAGCGACGAGAAGTAAGTTTGATCGCTCTTCGAGCTTTTTCTTTGTTCTCCGGACACTTCAACCGATAGAGCTCGGAGTGGATCACTCTCGACAAGGGATTGAACTCGTCTTCCGCGAGGTTTTAGAAGAAACTTTGTCTGACCGCAGAGTAAACAATCTTGAACCTCTTTGACGCACGTACATTAACTGTGCTAGGCCTAAGTTCTTGGGCCCCGGCTTTGGACAAAGGCAGTGGCGTTTCAAGAAGCAGAAAGGAGTTTCCCGCCCCCGCTCAAGTCCTACGGCCTCCGGCTCTCGACAAAGCCGGGCAATTTTCGGGTTTACATATAGACCGATCCCCGCCCCCTGATGTTGTATGGGCCCCGGCCTCGAACAAGGGCGGCGAAGTTAAAGTGGCTTTAAGGACCCATTCCCGCTCGCGTTCTACGGGCTTCGGCTCCGGACAAAGCATGACTATTTCCGGTTTCCAGTAAGGTCCGATCCCCCTTGTTGTTCTATGGGCCCCGGCTCCGAACAGAGGCGGCAATCTCAAGCTAAATCCGGCGCCCCCGCTCGCGTCTTGGGAGCTCCGGCTCTGGACGACACGGCGCGTTCTTAGACAGCCACAAGGGCCATTCAATAGGCCAAGCTGTCCGATCCCCCATGTTGATCTATGGGCCCCGGCCTCGAGCAGAGGCGGCGATCTCTAGTGACGTCAGGCGCCCCCGCTAGCGTCTTGGGAGCTCCGGCTCTGGACGACTCGGCGCGCTCTTAGACAGCCACAAGGGCCATTCAGTAAGCCAAGCTGTCCGATCTGCCTTATTGTTCTATGGGCCCCGGCCCCGAGCAGAGGCGGCGATGTCAAGTTACATCCGGTGCCCCCGCTCGCGTCTTGGGAGCTCTTGCTCCGGACGACGCGACGCATTCTTGAACAGCCACAAGGGCCACACTTAGCACCTTTATTCCGCTCGATTGACGACGGAGATCAGTGCGGCTGTAGTCGTTTCTAAACCGATATATGACTTTCTCGGGCCTCCTCAGATGTCAACCGCCGAGATCGCGGAGCTCCAGCGAACGGTGGCGGACATCGCTACTTGGGTCGCGGCGCTCACCACCCGCCTCCCTCCTTTAGCCACGGAGGAGGTTGAACTCCGACACAGCGAGCGGAGCGACTCGCCAGACCTGGACCCTTTGGGTCCCACCGACGAGCCCCACGTCTGGTTGGGGAGACCGACGGAGGGCCGATCCCTGGAGATGGACCCTGCCCTCCTGGACTTCCTCAAGGAGCACTGCGGCTCCGAGGGGCGCGTGGAGCGGCGCCGGGCGGCCCTGACGAGCTTCCCGTGACCGCGCCTCCCCTTCGCCACTGTGCCGGAGCTGAATCCGGAAATGAAGGCCCTGGCAAAGAAGAGAAGCCGTCGCCCATAGGGTGGCTCGGATGGAAATCTAAACATCACGGCCCGGGACCAGGCACTCCGAGAAGGCCAAGACGCAGTGGCTGCGGCTATGAGGCCACTGGTTGGCCTCTTAGAGATCGGCCTCTCGGAGGAGGCCATTAACAGAAGGACGGTGGCTGACCACTTTGGGGCAGCTACCACCCATCTGGGGCGGCTCTTTGCGTCGCTATCCCGCGAGCGCCGGGAGGGGGTGATTGCA